ACTCGATCAGGCCTACCTATGTAAACCTCCACTAAACTTCTAAAGGATGGGTTCAGAGAGTTTCCCAGTCGTGAACATATCCATGATCCAGGAGGAGGTGCACCCCAGCTCCACAAGACAAAAGCCTGTGTCCCTGCTTGACTCTGAGCCTAACATGCCATTCACTTTTATCCTTCATGATAATCTGTGACAGTAAAGGAACACGTCCTGAGTCCTGTGAGCCATGCTGCAGTGAAGCCACCTACCAGTTATCCAAAGGGAAGGACTGTGAAAGCCCCAACGTGGCAGCGAAGTTGGGCAGAAGCGTGGGGAGCTGGTGCTATGGTCCAGATGTCTGCACCAAAACTCATGCTGAAATGGCCTCCCTGTCCAGAGGGTGGACACTTCATCTGGCCATATGTCTGGGGGTGGGGCCTCTGGGAGGTAAGAGATTACATGAGGCCTTAGGGTGGGGTGCGAGCCCACAGGGAACTGAGCTGAGTTGGAGACACCCAGCTGTTTCCAGAGAGGGGAAGACTGCTGCTATGTCGGTGTCAGGGGTGTTGAGAGTTAAACAGTCGATGTCAGCCCCACAAGGTCTGTGCTCATCATCCCGGCAAAATGCCAAATGGCAATGTCTCTGCTGCTCGAGGCATGCATCATAGGCCGGTTCTTGCAAGGTTGGCCTAACGAACACATGTCATCCTCTGGAACACGTTTCTGGAGGGCAGAGAACATGTGTTATTCATTTCTGTAATTTCAGTAGCTGGCATGGATTAATTTGTTCTCATTCATAAGTACTTGGTGAGTCATTGGCCAATTTTTTAATGTTTAGTAACTTCTAAGCTCGTACAAGTTAATGGGGGTTAACTAATACTTTGCCAAAAAAATCATCAACGTAGGGGAGTAATCTTTCTTTTATACATTACTTAGGAGGAACTGGGACACATTTGGTATGACTCACCTACGCATCAATACCAAGATTGAATTTGGATCATGTTTTATGAACTCACTTTTCTACTTGCTCACCAGGAATGAGAAACTATTAAATTAGAAAAAGAAACAAATGTCTATTTAAAACTATTCTTCAGAGAATCTTATGGACTCTCTTAAGGTAATCATCATAATGACCCCATTTAAGGGAGGAGCGTACGGAGGAACTGTCCTCTTTTCTAACACTGTTGGAGGTCTCCCTAATGAGCAAGGAAAGCTAACTTTTCCTCTACTTGCGTTTCAAGCCAAAGTTCCTTTTTAAATTTCTTTAGCCAAATTTCTACATTGTTTTAGGGGGCGTGAGTCTACAAGTAACAACTTCAGTTTGATTTCCTGCTTTGAAATTAGAAACATGTGGAATTCAAACCTGTGTTCTAGTCTCAAAAAAGATCACTGGGGATTCCCAGCAAGGTAGAGCCCCTTAGCTAAGCAAATGGAAAAGGTGCTTCACTCCAAAACAGAAGCAGAAGCTGACTGACTAATATACATATTTTTCTTTCTTATTGGAGATATTCTTTTGGCTTTACTTTGAATAGCCTTAGTGTCATTTCAAACTCCTATGCCCAAGGCCCTGGGTTTTTACCTGCCAGGAAATCCAGATTTTACCTGCCAGGAAACTCATGTGATAACCAAGTAAGAATGCATATAGGTATAACACACACATATTTCTCAAAGATAATGTTGGCTTTGTCTAGTGGGGGTGCATGTTCTGACTCTGTTATTTTTTAGCTGTGACTTGTTTTTCTTGATGGGACATTACCAGCACATGAGGCAAAACTATTCTCTGCTGTGCAGCTCAGACACAATGCCTCGAGGCTTCTAGCATCCCGGGGTCTACCCATTAGTGCCTGAAGTGCACCCATCACAGTGACAGCTGAAATGCCTTCCCAGTTTTCCAAATGCCCCTTGTGAGGACAGCACCATCTTCAGTTGAGGACATTAGAATGACTGTAAGAAGATAAACAAAAAAGTATAAGATAAGGAAAGAAAGGTGAAGTGCTCTGTGTACCCTGGACAGCTTAACTGGTTAATGGAAATAG